TTGCCCAGGTCACGTTCTGTTGCCCACAGTGAAGTGCAGTGGTGTGATCATAGCTCACTGCAGCCTAGAACTTCTTGGTTGAAGCTATCTCTAGAGTAGCTGCAACTACAAGCATATACCGCTATGCATCACTAATTAAAAAAAAAAAAAATTTGTAGAGTCAGGGTCTTTGCTGGTCCAATGGTAGTGGGTTATCAGAACTTATTAACATTATTAGTGTCACTGAAGTTATTATACAAATCCCCACTGCTAAATTTGACTTTTTTTATAAAAGGAAAAAAAATTCAAAATATGTAGAGTGTATAGAGATGGGGTCTTGCTATATTGCCCAGGCTGGTCTTGAATTCCTGGCCTCAAACAATCCTCCTGCCTTGGCCTCCCAAAGTGCTAGAATTATTGGCAGGAGCTACCACACCTGGCCTCCTACATTTGAAAAGAATATATATTTCTCAATTATTGAGTGTAGTGTTTCATGAATGACAGTTAGGTCAGAGTGGTTGATAGCATCAGTATTTTATATCATTACTTAATTTTTACCTAGTTGTTATATTGATTCCTGAGAGAGATGCTAATTTTTTTTTTTTAATTAGCCATGCATTTGCATCTTAGCAAACCAGATGCTAAAATCTGAAACTACAGTTTTTGATTTGTTCATTTCTCCCTTTAGATGTTAGTATTTGCTCTTGTGTTTTGAGGCTCTGTTATTATTTGCACATACAGTTATATAGTTCTGTCTTCTTGGTGAAGCTTTTATTGTTATAAAATGTTCCTGTTTATCTCTGATTGTATTTCTTGTCTTAAAGTCTATTAAATTGATGTTAAGTTTGCCTTAACATCATTCTAGTTGTCGTTAGTGTTTTCATGGTATATATTTTTCCCTTACTCCATTTTTGTGTATATCTGATTATTTTTATAATTAAAAAAAAATTGTATAATGAACATTCTGAATGGTAGGTTATGAGATTATACATTCTGGTTTGTACCTTTAAAGAGAGAGTTTAGTTCTGGCTGACATTTACCTTGGTTAATTCAATCTTCAACATTGTGCCCCACTCATGGTAGAGTAGCAGAAATCTCTAATCTCTACTGAGTTCTTCTAGCTGCCGCTTTTGGCTTATCCTGAGGCCTACACCAGCCAAGGATTTCAGCAGATTTGGGGCTCATCTCTTTTCTGGTTCCCTTCCTTTTGATGATCCCCCCTCCAAATTTTCCCCCTAATTGTTTTTCTATCCCAGAACTCTTTCTTTTGACATCAGAATTGCTAGTAACGCTTTGAGCTCTTTGCTGGTGAATGGGGGAGTGCCCTTAGGTGAAATATAAGTAAAAATCCTACTTTTTGTTTGTTTGTTTGTTTGTTTGTTTGTTTTGGGATGAAGTCTCACGTTGTTGCCAGGCCAAAGTGCAGTGGCTCGATCTCGGCTCACTGCAACCTCCGCCTCCCGGGTTCAAGTGATTCTTCTGCCTCAGCCTCCCAAGCAGCTGGGATTACAGGCACATGCCAACATGCCCAGCTAATTTTTTGCATTTTTAGTAGAGATGGGGTTTCACCATGTTGGCCAGGATGGTCTCTATCTCTTGACTTTGTAATTCGCCCGCCTCAGCCTCCCAAAGTGCTGGGATTATAGGCATGAGCCACTATGCCTAGCCACATGTATTTTTTTAAAGGTATGCTTTTTTGATTAATAGACGGTTGGCGGGGAGGGAAGGTAGACTCTTTGATTTCTCTCTAGTGTTTGTTTGTTTGTTTGTTTTTATTGACAGCATCTCACTCTGTCGGCCAGGCTGGAGTACAGTGGTATGATCATAACTCACTACAGCCTTGAACTCCTGGGCTCAATGATCCTCCTGTCTCAGCCTCTCAAGTAGCTGGGACTACAGGCACATGCCCCATGCATAGCTAATTTCTACTTTATTTTTTTGGAGACAGGGATCTCACCATATTGCCCAGTCTGGTCTCAAATTCCTAGCCTCATGTGATCCCCTTGCCTCAGCTTCCTTAGTAGGTGGGATTACAGGCAGAAGCCACTGGGCCTGGCTCAGTATACCTGTTCTTTTTTTCGTTTTTAGTTCTTTCATATTTTGTTCGGCTTTTATAATTATATGTGGGACAGGTGGTCCAACCATGGTACTCTGTCATTACAAGAAACTAGAACCCCCAAATCATTTTATTTTAGTGTTAAAGAACATAGTTTTTTTTTATTGGTAGATTTTATTTTTAGAAGAGGGTTAGACTTTCAGAGAAACTGGGAATATAATACACAGAGCCTTCATATTTCCCCTTGCTTACAGTTTCCCCTGCTATTAATATCTTACATGAGTGTGATACATTTGTTACAACTAATAAACCAGCACTGATCCATTATTATTAAACATCCATTGTTTATTGAGATTTTTAAAGATTTTCCCTAATGTCCTTTTTCTGTTCCAGGATTCCATTCAGAATATCATATTAGCTGGGCACAGTGGCTCTCATTTGTAATCCCCATGACTCAGGAGGCTGAGGCAGGAGGATCACTTGAGGCCAGGAGTTTGAGAACATTCTGAGTAACATAGCGAAACCCTGTCTCTACAAAAAAACAATAATGATAATAACTTGTAAAAAAGGAGAATATCATATTGCATTTAGCTCTCATGTCTCTTTAGGCCCTTCTTGGCTATGACAGTTTCTTAAGTCTTTCCTTGTTTTTGATGACTTCGTTAGTTTTAAGAAATACTGACAGTTTTAAGAAATAATATTATAGGGTACCCCTTGATTGGAATTTATCTGAAGTTTTTCTCATGAATAGACTGGATTATGGGTATTTGGGAGGAAGATCACAGAGGCAAAGTGGCATTCTCACCGCATCAAATCAACAGGTACATATTGCCAGCGTGGTTCGGGACTACTGATGTAGACCTCGATCACTTCTTGGCTGAAGTAGTGTTTGTCAGGTTTCTCCACTGTTAGTCACTTTCCCCCTTACTACTGTAAGTAGTACTGCAAGTCAGTACGATACTGACTCTTTGGAAGTCACTCTGTGCAATCCACACTTCAGAATGTAGAGTTTTGCTTGCTTTTGCCTGCATTCTAAATTGAAATTTTTTTCGGAAACCTGAATTCTATTAGAGATAGATAGCTTCCAAGTTAGATTGCGTGTTGATTCATTCTTTGGTTTATTCATTTAACAGTTAACATGTTTAGTTAATGTACTATTTGCCAGTTATTGTGCTTGTTTTCTGGTGGAGTATAAGACAATTAGGAAATAGTTTCTGTCCTCAAGAAGCACAGTCTATGTATGTGATAAATATATAAGAAGTAAGCGTCATCATTAGGATACTTTTGGCCCCAAAATCAAAATACCCACCTAAGATGGCTTAAATAATAAATGACATTGTTGCCTTACACTTTAAGAGGTCTGCCCATTAGCCTGTTATACACTTGCTTCAGTGAATGGCATTAAGGATTTACGGCCTTTGCATACTCCTTCTCTACCATTTCCTGGTGTGTTGACTTTTGAGTTCAGATATTTTACGTCATGGTTAAGAGTTTTGGATATCACACTGTGTGCAACCTATATCCAAATAGGGAATGGCCTTTCTCTCATGCTTTCTTCCTTTTATCTGGGAAGAATTTCTTCCTTAGAGGTCTCCCAGTAGTCATCTCTTTGGATCACTTGGCTACCCCCTAGTTACATTGGAAGCTTAAAAGCAAAATCTGACATTTTAAACCTCTGACGTGGCAGGAGGCTTTGTCTGCAAGGAAGAAGCCTGACAAAGACGTGGAAAGTAGCTGCCACAGGTGTACTAGAAGCAAATAGATAAAGACAGGGTATAGTTGACCTTAATCAAAAGGCAAAGGTAAAGTCTGCCTCCTAAAGGCTAGGTGAGTCTCTGATTGGCTGACTTCTGTCTGACCGAAGACTGACGTTTTAGAGTATGAAGTAGAGGAATGTGATATGGATAAGACAAAGCATTACAGGTACAGCAGGCCGACTGCAAAGGTGAAGGGAATTTCTTAACAGTGAAATGAGTTTTGGAGGGCACAATGGAATGCTTTTGAGGGAAGGAAGCAGAAGGAAAATGAGCCCAGGTGAGGGCAAAGGTAGTAGATGGTGGAGGATTGATTGAGGAGAGATGTTCTGACGGGCCCATGGCCCACAAGGGGCAAGAGCCTAGGATGGAATTCAGCGGTCTTGGAAAGTTGCTTTGGTTCCAGAACTGGCTGATGCTGTCATGTCAGTCAGAATCCTTATAGGACGTTGGTAGCTCTTAGCACTCAGCACCCTGAAAGGCTTGCTCACCTCAAATGTTGGAGCAGTGTTTCCAGGAGACTTGCCTGCAGTTGATGGTGAGCTGCTTTGAGATTAGGGCTTTCACCACACATGTTTAAAGTGGCAGTCCTTTAATAAAAAATTCATCCTGTAAGCATGCCAGGCCTTTGTGGCTACTAGAAGTTATTTTAAAAGAAAAGTTACTTTTATGTTGCATCATCATAAACAGTTTCTGCTTTCTCTGTCATTTCTATAGCCATTTGACAGAAGCCTTCAAAAGTGAGTCAGATTTTTCCTCCCACAATTAATAAAATTTTTCTCTCTTTAATTTTTCCTTCTGGAAAGGAAGAGGAGGCTGCAAAATGGGCCCGGGAAGAAGAAGAAGCCCAGCGTCGATTAGAGGAGAACCGGCTGCGAATGGAAGAGGAGGCAGCCAGGCTCCGGCATGAGGAGGAGGAACGGAAGAGGAAGGAGCTGGAGGTTCAGCGGCAGAAGGAGTTAATGCGCCAGAGGCAGCAGCAGCAAGAGGCTCTTCGGAGGTTGCAGCAGCAGCAGCAGCAACAGCAGCTGGCACAGATGAAGGTAAAGCCCTAGGCATCAACCTTAGGAGCTCCTTGCTAACCTTCTTTAGTTAGGTGGGTCCTGGCTGTACCAGTAGCAGTAAAACTGTACTTTCTTTCTTTTTTTAATAATAAAATATTTTAAATTATTTGTTTTTGAGACTGGGTCCTACTCCTCTTGCCCAGGCTGGAGTGCAGTGGCGTGATCTCGGTTCACTGTAACCTTGACTTCCTGGGCAGCTCATGTGATCCTCCCACTTCAGCCTCCCTAGTAGCGGAGACTACAGGCGCACGCCACCATGTCCGGCTAGTTTTTTATATTTTCAGTAGGGATGGTGTTTCACCATGTTGCCTAGGCTGGTCTTGAACTTCTGGGATCATCAACAAGATATATAATACACAGACTTTGTATTAGGCATTTAAATGAGTGAACAAGAGAATCGAACATGAGCAGCAATGTAGGCAAAACAAGTAAATCTGTTTGGTTTGTAAATTTAACGTGGCTCAGTAAACACTGGAGTGTGTATTCTGTAACAGTTCAGCACTGCTGAGGCAAAGATAAATGAAACAAGGCAGTTGACCCCAGAGAGTTCACAAAAATGTAGGCACATAAATATTCGGATGTGTAAATGGGAACTAGAACATAGGGCTTGAAACAGAGTTGGCCATGGGCATTTATTGAAAGTTACATTAAGAGGTGATATACACAAAGTGTTGTTTTAAAGAGGATTCAAAGCATTTTTTTTTTTTTTAAATAAGGAGAAAGTGAATACTGGGAGCCCAGTTAAGAGGCTATGTTGGTGATGGTATGAATGAACAGGAGAGACCAGCAGGAGGGAGCTGGCCTGATAGCAGTCAGCAAGACTTAATAACTGGAGCTGAGGGAGGAAGGCAGAAGCTGGGGTGCCTCCTAGAGTAAGTTTCAGTGACTGAGAAGATAGTAGAACTGTTGATGAAATTGGAGTAATTGGGAAGGGAGGAACAGATTTATGGCAGGTTCTGTATACCTTCCTGCTGGATCTGCAGTAAGCAGTAAGGTTTAGTGTCCCCTGTCTTCAAGGAGCTCACAGGGTAGACATCTAAACAGAAAGTAGAATATAGTGTGGTGAGGGTAGTGGGAGAGGTGGCATGGAGTCAGTCATTCTGAGTTCAGTCACTTGGGAACTTATTAGACATGCAGATTCCCACCCCAGACCTATTGAATCAGAACCTCTAGGGGTGGAACTGAGCAATCTTGTATTTAAACAAACTCTGCAAGGGATTCTGTTGCTCTCTAAAACATGAGAACCACTATCCGTCTGGGAAGTTTGGAAAGGCTTCTTGAAAAAAAGGTAACTTCCAAACTGAGTCCGGCTTTCAGCATTTTTACTATGACGTGTCTGTTTGTGGATCTCCTTGTGTTTAATCTACTCAGAATTGATGGTTCTTCCTGGATGTGTAGATTAATGTTTTTCCATAAACCGGAGAAATTTTTAGTCATTATTTCTTCAATTGTATGTTCTGTTCCTTTCTCGCTCTCCTTCAGGCACTTGAGTAATGCTTATACTTCGTGTACCTAATGGTGTCTCATTTCTCTAAGGCTCTCTTTAATTTTCTTCGTGTTTTTCTCTCTGTTCTTTGTGCAATTTGTATTGATCTTTCTTTCTTTCTTTTGCCAGTTCAGATGTACTGTAGTGTACCTCTAGTGATTTTTTTTTAATTAAAATTTTTTTACAAATATTTAGGGCATAGAAGTGTAGGTTTCTTAATTGCATATATTGCATGGTGATGAAGGCTGGGCTTTTCACGTATTTATCTCCTAAATAGTGAGCGTTGTACCCAGTAGGTGATTCTTCAACCCTTACTCACCTCCTGTTCTCCCACCTTTTGGGGTCTCTAGTGTCCTTTATTCCACTTTGTATGCCTGTATGTAGCCATCGTTTAGCCCCCACTTATAAGTGAGAGCATGCAGTATTTGACTTTCTGTTTCTGAGTTATTTTACTTAGGATGATAGCCTCCAGTTCCATCTGTGTTGCTGTGAAAGACATGATTTCATTCTTTTTTGTGACTGGTAGCATTCCATGCTTTATATAAACACCACATTTTCTTTATCTAGTCCTCCATTGATGGGCAGAGTTTTTAATTGCAGTTATTATACTTTTTTAGTCCAGAATTTCCTTTTGGTTTTTTAAAATATAACATCTATCTCTTTATCAGTATTCTTTATTCGGTGTGACACTGTCATCATACCTACCTTCCTTTACCACTTTAGTCATAGCTTCCTTAGGTTCTCTGAACAACTTTTATAAATCTGACATCTTCTTCACTCTCACAGGCAGTTTTTGTTGCCTGCTTTTTTCCCCAGTGTATGGGTTATACTTTCCTGTTTCTTGCATGTCTCATAATTTTTTATTGGCATCTGGACTTTTTGATAATGTCTTGTAGCAACTCTGAGTATCTCTATCTGCCCCTCCCAGCTTGATCTTCTTACTTGTTTGTTTTGTGGCTGAGTGGATTATTTTAGTGGAGTCTTAACTCCCTCCTCCACCCCCTGACCATGTGAAGCCTTTGCTGTTGCCCATGTTGGGGGTACAGCATTGGGTGTACCCAGAGTGACTCTGAGGTAACAGTGGGTTTGGCAGGGCTCTCTTTGACTGTCTTTTCCACACTCAGCTGTTTTACTCTACTTACTGCTAGCTGAGCTCTGTTGTTCTTAACCCGTTTCCTTTTGCCCTGAGAATATCCCTGGAGGTGCATGCAGTTGCTGCGCTGACCTCAAGATGACTCGGATTATAGTCCTAACCTTACTCCTAAATGCTTTTCAGAGAATTACATCAAAACAGCACTGATGCAATTGCGACAACTTGTTGGAACAGAAAACAGATGCCAAATGATCTGGAAAAAAAAAACTGCGAGTTATCTCTGGGTAAACGCTGCAGCTGCACGCACTGCCAGCAAATATTATTGGGGCAAATGGGAAATGGATGGGTGCAGTGGCTCCTGCCTGTAATCCCAGCACTTTGGGAGGCGGAGATGGGTGGATTGCTTGAGTTCAGGAATTCAGGACCAGCCTAGGCAACATGGTGAAACTGTATCTCTACAAAAGAAAAAAAAATACAAAATATTATCCAGGCGTGGTGATGCATGCCTGTGGTCCTAGCTACCCAGGAGGCTACGGTGGGAAGATGGTTTGAGTCTGGGAGGTGGAGGTGGGTGGCAGAGTGAGACTCCATCTCCTACCCTCCCACACACCCCCAAAAAAATGTGCCCCAGGACTTACATTGACAGACTGATCCAGTTAAATTCAGGCTTCTTTGAAGAAATAGTTCTTGAAGTCTATATGTAAGATTTGTTCTGACCCCGGGGGGATTCCTTCCAGTTTTCTTTAACCAGTTCTCTCAGATAAGGTAGCAGCCTCCTACAGTTTAGCCTGTATCTCCTATGAATCTACCAGTCTTCCTCCCAATTGCCTTTTATCCCATCTTCTGTTTCTGAAAGCACTATTAGTATCTGTTGCAAATGAAATCAGTTCCTTTGGGAAGAAACCTGAAGCTCTCTGTTTTCTGCCTGTTTCCTACACTCCTACCCTCAGACAAAAATCTCTCAGTCAGCTCTGGACATGGGCACAATGGTCTGCTTTCCTCTAACATTTGTTGAAGGGTGGACAGAATAGTAGCCTCAGGTCTTCTTGGCTTGCCTCTCTTGGTGGCTTGGCCCGGCCAGCTGCATCGGCAATCTGTGCCCTAGTGTTGGTATTGCTGTGGTCAACAGTTTCCATCCTACCAGTGGGGCTGGGCACAAGAAGAAAGCCTCCAGATCTATTGCACTTGTTTGGAACTGAGCCTTTGCCACAGGTAACTGTCACCAGGGTGAGACACACTGATGTGCTTTTTCCAGGAAGAAATCCTGCTGACTGGTGGCTGAGAGGAGAAGGGAGCCGTGTTTTGACTGTACCAGTCCAGAGTGGAGTTTCTGTCTCATTAAGCTGGAAGGAGAGAAGGAGAGAATAGGTCTTGGTTTAAGTATTACCAGCTCTTGCTGTTCTTACTGAGTTTTAGAAAATATTCTTGAATAAACTTTTTTTTAAAATTTGCTGTATACCCTTAGGAGTATTTCCAGAAACTTTATTTATTTATTTATTTTTGAGACTTCATTTATATATTTAAGACTTTGTTTTTTTTGAGGGTCTGGCTCTGTCACCCAGTTTGGAGTGCAGTGACACAATATCGGCCCACTGCAGCCTTCACCTCCTGAGTTCAAGGGGTTCTCCTGCCTCAGCCTCACAAGTAGCTGGATTACAGGTGTGTGCCACCACACCCAGCTACTTTTTTTGTACTTTTAGTAGGGATGGGGTTTTGCCATGTTTGCCAGGCTGATCTCAAACTCCTGACCACCTGGGCCTCCCAAGTGCTGGGATAATAGGTGTGAGCCACTGCTCCCAGCCAGAGATTTTAAATTATTATTTAAAAAATGATCTTTGACTGGGCACAGTGGCTCACGCCTATAATCCCATCACTTTGGGAAGCCAAGGCAGTTAGATCATGAGGTCAGGCGTTCGAGACCAGCCTGACCAACATGGTGAAGCCCCTCTCCCCCGTCTCTACTAAAATTACAGGAGGTTGCACAGTAAGCTGAGATCGCACCATTGCACTCCAGCCTGGATGACAGAGCGAGACTCTGTCTCAAAAAAAAAAAAAGAAAAAAAAAAAGGTCTTTACCAGTTTTGCCAGGGAGCAGGTCCACGCAGCTCCTCATGCTGTCACCCGACAGTGAAACACAGTTATTTCTTAAAGCAAAACCAGTGTTGAAATGTAAGGTAGCAATGTCAGGGCAGAACAAGAAGAGTATAGTTTTAAAAATCAATGAAGGATATTAGGGGATATTAGGCATTCAGGAGTCACAGAATGTGCTAAATTTTCTATTTGCTTTTGATTTGGCAAAGGTTTGTTCTGAGAAGGATGACTGACACACTGCAGTTCTCTGAGTGGGCATTACCGTATAGGGTGTTGGTTGGGCTGGTAAGTGTCATGTGGCAATGTTGAAAGATCTCTGGGATATTATTTCCTATGTACAAAGAAGACTTCAGGAAAAGTCTTTGGTCTGCAGTTACCCTAGAGAGCAGACCTATGGAATATAGACTATATATGCATATGTATGTGTGTGTATAGATAGAGAAATAGAGAGTTGGTCCAGGGAGGAGAGAAAGAATAAATATATTTTGGCACAGCAATAGAAAGATTCTAGAGGTGCCTATGAGGATAGTTGGCCATTTCTGAAGGCATTGCCTCTATTCCCAATGCTGGTTGAGGTCTGCAGAAGTGGGCTGGAGATTATTTCCTGGTTACAGTGAAGTGAAATGTCTACTGTGATTTTAGACAGCATCAGTGGTTACTGGCTGCATCAGAATGATTAAAATATGCTGATTCTCCTGCCTTCCTTTCTGATCTTCTCATCTTCTGGTGCAGTAGAGCCAGGGCTATTCGTCCCTTCAGGCTATGCTGCCGGTTTGAGATCTACTGCCTTACTTGATCTTAATGGTGCCTTCAAATGAGTCATTTCCTATGTAGAAAAAGTTAATTTTGCTCAGTTTTGCCTGTCAACACCTCCCTACCCAGTCTTTGTTAGCTTCCCTCTGCATCCTCTACTCCCCCGGGGCAGGTGCATTTTTTGAGAGAAATGTTGTTATCTGTCATATTGGCCAAAAAATGTTGTGGGTTGATTATGTTTAGTAGTGTTAAAGACATTCATTTGAAGAGCTATTTGACAATATCAGTGATGGTTTAAACTATTTATACCTTTTATCCTGTAAGTATCCACTCTTACAGATGACTACTGTAGGTCCATTCTTTTGGGAGACTATTTGGCATTTTACTTGTTTTGATCTATGTTCCTGTATTGTTTTTGTTAAATATATTTTGTAAGTCTGGTTAGGTTTCTTTTTTACTGTGTTTGCTTGTTTGATTTCTCAGTATTAAAAGTGTATTATTTTTCTGGCCACAAGGAACAAGGGATTCTCTGAGAATAACCAGGCTTTGAGAATACTGAAATATTCAGGACCCAGAAATTTATACTCGTTATTTTAGTCATAATCTTAAGGAAAAGGAAGAATAAAATTATTGATTAAAAGCAGCTTACCGCTTATGACTAGAAGCTGCAGCCTGGTTAACAGTGACCCCTTTCCATAAAGGCTGATCAAGGACTATGCCAGCATCTCTCATGAGCTGCCTCCCATGGTGATCCCCTCAGAAATCGTGTCCTTAAGCCTTTCACTGGACAGCAGCGGATCATGTCCTTTGTTACTTTTGTCAGTTAAAAAATTCTTAAGCCAAGTTAGTGATTCTTTTGTTTACTCCTCTTTATATATATTGTATATTGCTGTGTATGTCAGTACCAGATGTAACAAACTTGTCACCAAGTGGTAGATCAAATATAAGTGTGTATGTATATTATAAGTTGTTTTAAAATAAACCTAGGTTTGGAGCAGTGACAACTTAAGCAAAAGAAGCTAACTGAGAGGATGGTAAGTAAAAGCAGCGAGGAAGGAAATTTGAATTGAATGTGGTAAATGGAGTTGAACGAAATGCAGATATTCTGGCTGTACATAATGCATTATTGCTTCTTTGTTTTCTGTACACATTTCTTCATGAACTTTTTTTTTTTTTTTTAAGCTTCCCTCTTCTTCAACGTGGGGCCAGCAGTCCAATACAACAGCATGTCAGTCCCAGGCCACCCTGTCGTTGGCAGAAATCCAAAAACTAGAAGAAGAACGAGAACGGCAGCTTCGAGAAGAGGTAAAATTTTCAAGTAAAAGGGATCTAGTCAAGCAGTGTTCCAGAATGTCTAGTGTGATTATTGGTTAGTGGTCCTAGTGTGTTCCACCATGTCTGGCTTATGTTTAAAAATTTTTTTGTAGGGACAGGTCTTACTACGTTACCCAGGCTGGCCGCCTCAGACTCCTGAGCTCATGTGATCCTCCCACCTTGGCCTCCCAAAGTGTTGGGATTACAGGCATGGGCCACTGTGTCCTTCCCTTTTTATCATTTCTTTCTTTTTTGGGGAGGGGGGGAACGGAGTTTTCGCTCTTGTTACCCAGGCTGGAGTGCAATGGCGCGATCTCAGCTCACTGCAACCTCTGCCTCCTGGGTTCAAGCAGTTCTCCCGCCTCAGCCTCCTGAGTACCTGGGACTACAGGCACGCACCACCATGCCCAGCTAATTTTTGTATTTTTAGTAGAGACGGGGTTTCACCATGTTGACTAGGATGGTCTCGACCGATTGACCTCATGATCCACCCGTCTCGGCCTCTTAAAGTGCTGGGATTATAGGCGTGAGCCACTGCGCCTGGCCCTTTTTTTTATCATTTCTGTGGGGCATCTTCTCAATTTTACCTCTGGTCCTTCTATTGGGCTTATCCCAGCTTCTCTCCTTAGAGACAGGGTCTTGCTCTGTCACCCAGGCTAGAGCACAGTGGCGTGATGGCAGCTCACTGTAACCTTGAACTCCTGAGCTCATGTGATTCTCCTGCCTAGGCTTCCCAAAATGTTGAGTATTACAGGCCTGAGCCACTGTACCCAGCCCTGCTGAGCTATTAACATAAGGTCTGTGAGTCCTTATTTTGTTCTTTAAGTATTTTTTATGGCCTTTCAATCTTCTTTCATTGAATGCACCACCTTACCTCTCTAAGGATATTAATACTGATAGCTTCTTAAAAAGCCAACTCCTATTTTCCCATTGTCTTATATCTATTTCTGCTGAATTTTGTATTTTTGTTTGTTTTGGTCTTTGGCTTTTATCTTAGAAGTTTGTGTCAAATGTTTGGTAATTCTAGGCTGTTTGTTTATAAATAAGGCACTCAAAAGCCGATTGGAGGTTCTGGTATGTACAGCACCTTGGTGGGCTTTCCCATAATAGCTTCTGGCTGAGTTGTTCTTTTGGAGACTTCCACCCCCAAACCCCTAGTTTGTTGGCACCTACCTATAGGTGTGTTCTCTTGTGCTGGTTGGCTTTGCCATAGGATAATGTGCCAGTCTGGTTTGGCTTCTCCAGACAGGGAATGTTCAGTTTTCTGCTGTGGTGCAGGAGAGAATTGTCTGACTGCATAGAGTACAGGAGGCAGTCTGGAGTCTTACTGCTTCTTTTTACAGACTTTCAGTCAGTCTTCCTCTGTTTGAGAAACTCAGCACCTCCAGTTCCTGAGCTTTCTGTATGAATCTGCCTGTTTCTGAGCTCCTTTAGGGTTCTCATTATTTATCTGCTTTCAGATTTAAAAAAAATCTATTCTGTTTTCTTTGTCCTTATGGGTTTATGCCATGTATATATACAATCTGTCATTTTGGTGGAGGCTTTAGGAAGTAAACGTGTTTCATTTCTGTGCTTAACCAAAGGCCTTCTTAATTTTTAAGAAGTAATTCTGAGGCCGGGCACAGTGACTCTCACCTGTAATCCCAGCACTTTGGGAACGCAAGACAGGTGGATCGCTTGAGGCCAGGAGTTCGAAACCAGCCTGGCCAATATAGTGAAACCCCATCTCTACTAAAAGTACAAAAAAATTAGCCAGACATGGCTTGAACCTGGGAGGCGAGGTTGCAATGAACTGAGATTGTGCCACTGTACTCCAGCCTGAACGAAAAAGTGAGACTCCATCTCAACAACAACAAAAAAAGAAGTAATTTTGCATTTGCTGTTCTCATTCTCCTTTTTAATACTGTTAGCACTTTACATTTTTATTTGCAACAGCAGAATTAATCCCATCAAGTTAATTTTATGTAGCTACTATGTATTTGCATTCCATTTAGTAGACTGGATATTTATAACTATGTTCTAAAAACAGGAATCCTCAGCTAGCTTCTGTTTTTATGCAACAGCAAAGGCGCCAGCAGAGGGAGTTGATGAAAGCTCTCCAGCAGCAGCAGCAGCAGCAACAGCAGAAACTCTCAGGTTGGGGAAATGTCAGCAAACCTTCAGGTACCACGAAATCTCTTCTGGAGATTCAGCAGGAAGAAGCCAGGCAAATGCAAAAGCAGCAGCAGCAGCAGCAGCACCAGCAACCAAACAGAGCTCGTAACAATACGGTGTGTGCATTTTCCTAAGCTGTCATTGTATGGACTAGTTTTATCTTTTCTGTCTTCTTATCTTTTTAACATTATTAACAATAATAATTTTTCTCTTTTCTTTAACAGCATTCCAATCTGCACACCAGCATTGGGAATTCTGTTTGGGGCTCTATAAATACTGGTCCTCCTAACCAGTGGGCATCTGACCTAGTCAGTAGTATTTGGAGTAATGCTGACACTAAAAACTCCAACATGGGATTCTGGGATGATGCAGTGAAAGAGGTGGGACCTAGGAATTCAACAAATAAAAATAAAAACAACGCCAGTCTCAGGTAGGGCTCAAAATGACCACACCTGTGCACCTTGGTTGGTTGGGAGGTGGGGATGGAGGAAGTGGGGTGTTGGGTAGGCAGTGAAAGGTAGTTATTTAGTTTTTACTTACTGTTTTAATCTGTGTTCAAGCGCTTCCAGTCATAATTATGGTGATTGTTTTCTTCCCCATAGACACAAACTTATATTATTTCTTGGGGCTCCTTCTGCTGAGCACTTATTCTGTTGCATAGTACATGGTAACCACTTAATAATTATTAGAAATAGTATAATGTTTTTGTTGTGGTGTTGAACATTTCTCCAACATATTCTCTAGATGCCTTAGCATTTTTCCTAAATTTGTATTTTTAAGTGATGTATACTATTAATGTGAGTATTATAAAAACACTTCTGTAATGACCTTAAACCTATTTTTTATAAGTTAGTTACATTTTCATCTTCATCTTTCTTTCCTCAGTATACAGTGTTATTGAATGAGCATGGGTTTTAGTGTTAAGTACATGAACTCAAATCCCAGCACTACCACTTATTAGCTGTGTGACCTTGGGCAAGAGGGAACCTCTTTGGGCCTCAGTTCCCTCGTCGGTAAAATGAAGATAATAATAACAACTTCATGCATGTAATTGTAAAGATTAAATGAATACATGATAAGTAGTAAGTGCCTGGCACATAGTAACTACTTAATAAATGGTAGTGTTGTCAGATTGTTTCTTCTTGATTTAGGGCCTAATATATTATGAATAGGACAATTAATTTGTTAGTTTATGAGCATCTTTGCCAGGCACTGTGCTCCAGGCCTTTTCATACACTATCTTTATTACTTATGATAACCCAAAAAAGTGTTAGTACCATTTTACAAGGTAAGGAGACTGAGGCTTAGTAAAATTAAACAACCTACCCTAAGGATACATAGGAAGAATTTCATCATTTTTTCTAAATAGAAGCCCTGTATCCACAAATAAGGATATATTAGTTGAGGCTAGATTTTAAGGGTATATCCAATCCAAATATTTGAATTTTTTTTCATTTTTGGAGCCAAGCATTGGATTACTGGACATCCAGCCAGTATTGCCAAGACATTATCTATTTATGGTGTTGTACTATAATCATATAGTAACAGTTTCTGGGAATATAATATCGCCCTATTGTTTTGCTTTAGTAAATCTGTAGGTGTGTCTAACCGGCAGAATAAGAAAGTAGAAGAAGAAGAAAAGTTGCTGAAGCTCTTTCAGGGAGTAAATAAAGCCCAAGATGGATTTACCCAGTGGTGTGAACAGATGCTTCATGCCCTTAATACGGCAAATAACTTGGATGGTAAGAATTGGGGAGGGAAACCCAGCATGTGGAATGACAGAGCAGGACCCACAGAGAGGCTGGCAAATTGGAACGATGGGCCCAAAGTCAGAAGATGAAATCTAAGGAGGTCAACCCCTGCGCCTACCGTAAGAACTTGACTCTTTAATAGTATTACTTGTGAGAAAAGTCCAGTAATACTAAGCTCAAATAGGTTATTGATGGTTGTTAAAAAGTAAATGCCATCTTAGACTACCTTAATGATACACAGGACAGAGGAGGTCATAGTTCCATACTGTTCATTTTATGAGAGACATTGCCAGCTATGTCAAGTTAAAAAAAAAAAAAAAGTAACTGTCATGTTGGGAACAAAGGTCAACCTGGACAAGTGATGGCTGAGGTGATGTGACATCATTCCCTTTCTACCTTTGGGGGAGGGAGTGGGAATTGTGATAAAGCAAGTACACTTATTTTGTGTGGGACAAAACTAGGACCAATGTGCGGAAGTGAAAAGGCTTTGGCACAGTTTAGAGAAAAACTTGCTCATGGTTAACTGTTCACAGACCTATCTCCCATCCCTGAATGTTTGAAGAGAGACTGGTCAACATGTCAGGATTCCCATAACTGATAGGCTAAATTGAACTAGTCCACCTCTGACATCCTGTCTAAAGCGAAGTATCTGTGAAAAACAGCAGTAAAGGAATTAAGGGGTTCCTTTGCAGCATTGTAACACTATCTAATGGTTTAAAAATCTACAGAGAAAACAATTTTAAATAACAGTAATGGCTGCCATGCATTAAGCACCTACCATGTGCTAGGCACTCTTTTGGGGTTAACATGTAGTATCCCAGTTATTTGATGTTTGCGGTAATTTTTAAAGATACCTTTATAAGGTAGGTAATATTATCCCCATTTTATAAATTAGGAAACAGAGGCTCAGAATGGTTAAATAACTCATCAAGGTCACACAGCCAGCAAATTTCAGAGTCAGGTTTTAAATCCATGTTTGTCTAACTCTGATGCTCATGCTTTTCTCCTATATCACACACTGCTTACATTTTCCATTTGATTTCTCTCTAAAAAATCTCAGTGGGTTGAAAGTTCCAGGAGGATATAGCTATTTTCTTTAGTATATGTTGTAGTGCCTGGCACACTTCATAGGAGTTAATAAATATTGATTGAATTTGGCGATTCTTCAGGAGAGAAAGAATGAATCCCCAAATTACTTCAGCCTTAGTCAAGTAACTGTTTTGGTCAATATAGCATTCAGTGAAATTAAGCATATGATACGGGCATTGTGATGATAGTGGTTTTTTTTTTTTTTTTTTTTTTCATTTCTGTAAGGTAGTTTAAAGCATATTTAAACACAATTACTGCATACTTATCAAGTTTCTGTCATTAATGTCTGATTAGGTGCAAAGATGTATTAAAAATGGAGACTGATTTTTGTATGTTATCTTTCATTATTTCTTTGTTACTCTTGTCTTCTCCCCTCCCATTTTGCAGTTCCCACATTTGTTTCTTTCCTGAAAGAAGTAGAATCTCCTTATGAGGTCCATGATTATATCAGGGCCTATTTGGGAGATACTTCTGAGGCCAAGGAGTTTGCCAAGCAGTTCCTTGAGCGTCGTGCCAAACAGAAAGCCAACCAGCAGCGTCAGCAGCAGCAGCAGCAGCAGCAGCAGCAGCAGCAGCAGCCACCGCCACAGCCGCAGCAGCCGCAGCAGGTATAAAGTAGCATAGTGTATGAAGTACCTCTGAGGATTAATACCTTTAAATGTTGAGTAACCAGAGAAATGAAAATTAATGCAAAGGTACCATTTTTGTGTATCCAATAACCATGCTTTAAAAAATGCGTAGACTTCATGTTTTCAAATTACATGTCCAGGTACCTTAGTGTATCTCTCAGATAACAAGTACAATTATTCATTTTAACACTGGCTTTACCAGTTCCATTTTTCTTGATTTGTATATGTGTCATTTTTAGATTGCAAATTCCAACATGTCAAACCCATAGATCTGGTTTTGAAAAGTTAAAACTTGGCCAGGTGCGATGGCTCATACCTGTAATTTCAGCACTTTGGGAGGCTGAGGTGCACAGATCACCTGAGTTTGGGAGCTTGAGGCCAGCCTGACCAACATGGGGAAGCCCTGTCTCTACTGAAAATACAAAATTAGCCAGGCATGGTGGCTCATGCCTGTAATCCCAGCTACTCGGGAGGCTGAGGCAAGAGAATCACTTCGACCCGGGAGGCGGAGGTTACGGCGAGCCAAGATCGCGCCATTGCACTCCAGCCTGGGCAACAAGAGCAAAACTCCATCTCAAAAAAAAAAAAAAGAAAAGTTAAAACTTAAGACGTTGAATTCTCCAGTGTTCAGGATGCACTGTACTTAGTACTGACAACACTGCAGCATGCCAGATAGTTCATGTTGCTGTTGGGGTTGTAAAAGATACAGCAGGGATTCTCATTATTCACAGTAGTTATATTCTATAAAGTCCCCACGAACTTTACAAGTTTACAGAAGTTCATGGGGACTTTACAGAATATGACTACTGTGAATTATGAGAGCAAATACTGAACAGAAAATATAAATGAAATTTGAGCAAATACTGACCTCCTAGGAGTTATACCGGGTTAGGTTCCCATAAACTTCTAGTCAAAACACTTTTGTCACCCGATTATTATATAACCTTGTTTTATGTGGGTGTCTTTTTAAAGACACCTCATTTAATATGTGTTGATTCACTAACATTGAACTCATAACCAATAGCTCTATTATTCATGCCCAAATGAAGCTTATCTAGCGTACATATTTTCTTCCTAAGGCACCTCCCAGCCTTCCTGTGCTTAGGAACACCAACCAGTTATTCAGCACTATAGTTGAGGGCCACTTTAAACAGTGAAATCCCATGGCTCACGCCTCTAATCCCAGCACTTTGGGAGGCCGAGGCAGGTGGATCATGAAGTCAGGAGTTCAAGACCAGCATGGCCAGGCATGGTGGCACATACCTGTAGTCCCAGCTGCTTGGGAGGCCAAGGCAGGAGAATTGCTTGAACCCGGGAGGCAAAGGTTGCAGTGAGCCGAGATCGCGCCACTACACTCCAGCCTGGGTGACAGAGCAAGACTCTAAAAAAAGGAAAAAAAGTGAAATTATTAACAAAAAGCAAAAAAATTAGGAAAATATGGCACTAAATAGACCACAAAAAGGATACTTGCTGACAGTATTGAGAACTATAACAAGAAGGTATTGTTTCCTTGTTCTACCTTGACTGGGAATATATGCCTTTAGCATATATTTTTGCTCTGAGTATGTGCATTTCCAGAATGACCATAAAAGCACTACAGGTATTCATTTTGGGGTTATAAATATGTTTTAACAAGTAGGTGAATTCACAAATACAGAATCTGTGAGGCTCAATTGTATAAGTTTTCTGAAAGACAAGTTGGTAAGGCTCATGGAAGGGCTTAAAGATATTCGTATCCTTTACTCTAATTATTATTCTAGAGATAATCAGTATTCATTATGGGTCAATTCCAAGGATGTAGATGATAACAGAGAAGTACAAGGCATTTAACATTCAACTGGGTAATGGGCTAACAGGCATAAATTGAAGGAAAGTGAAAGATGTAAACACTGGAACACTAGGAAAAATATTTTAAAGAGAAGGCATCATATAGCAATACAGAAGGCTCTTTGTATTTGTGAAATGGCTCCTCTGTGGGCTAAAACAGTAAGGTGGAAGCCCAGCGAGCATGTGAATCCATGGGCCACACGCACACATACATCACACCAGGCTTGTCCTTCACAGAGCTTTTTCCACGCCTCCCTCACTACTACCACCTGTGCCTTAACTGGCTCTTTGAAACAGATCCCAAGTTAGAAGTGTGGCTCTAATAAGAGCCACAAGTAGGCATGAAGGGCTAATAGGCAATTTCGTATTGTAACCAGTTGGTAGAAATTATATAGACAATATTTTGGGGCCAGATCCCTTCTGGGATTGCTGATAGGAATAAGATACACAACTTTAACCTTGTTTGGTAATATGCCACCCCTATCCTGTCTGTCCTGGGGCATAGGAAACAAAGGACTTTCTGCTCTTGGTTAGGTGAGAGGTGTATATTGCTAGGGTACAGTAGTCTGCTCATGATTATTTGCTATATTCATGTCCTGGTGTTTGGTACAGACTACACATATAGTAGAGAATTTCTGCTGTCACAGCAGGGTGGAAACCAGAGTTACAGGAAAGGCTTTGTGGAGGCACAGAGCCTGAGTGGGATGTCTTGGTCTAAATAGAGGAAAATGGTGGCTCAGTGGCCTATTGCTTTTATTATTAGAACATGTGATAAGCTTTTTGTTTTTTCTGTTTTGAAGCTCATACTTGATAAGGTGAGGACAAGCCAAGCATTTTCCTAGGGTGAACCAAGTCTGAATCTGCTGCGTAATCTCAGTCATGTTGCTTATTTCACAGGACTCTGTGTGGGGGATGAACCACAGTACACTCCATTCAGTATTTCAAACCAGTCAAAGCAACAACCAACAATCCAATTTTGAGGCTGTGCAGAGTGGCAAGAAGAAGAAAAAGCAGAAGATGGTCCGAGCAGATCCCAGTTTATTAGGTGAGCACAGTCCTAAAGTCTCAGCTGTGTGTTGGAGGAGTGCAGGTGATAGCCATTATCCTGTGTGAGTTTCCATGAAGCATTGTTTTTCAAGAAGGGAAATGTTTCTTTTTATCAATAACTAATGTTTTAACTGGTTCAAAATAAGTAGCCAGTATTTACTGGGCATCTCAGTGCAGGAGCTATGCTTCATGTAATAACAACTTATACTGTATGGTGCTTTAAACTTTAAAGCATTGTTTTATATTTAATATGAGTTTCCCTGGAGGATCTTTAGTAATTTAATTGGAAAATTATGCTAATAATGGATGATACTAAAAGTATGTTAAAAAGCTTAAATGCTGATTTGTGTTGAAAGCAGACCATTAATCCAATCAGGTGCTCCAAGAAAAGAACCAGTATGTGTTCGTAATCACTCTGTGCATCATACAATTCTCAGAATTACTTTGCCTTATGAGGTGACATCCCAGTTTCACTAATAACGAGTAGACCAAGACTCAGAGATTCAGAACATTTCCCAGCATCGTGTAGCTTTCAGCTCTGGGAGGCTGAGATTTCAGAACAGGGCTGTTTTCGTTCCACCCTTCTCTGTTACCCATGGCTATTTTTGTCTAGCATTATGGACCATGCAGGGCAGGCTGGGCACAGTGGCTCACTCCTGTAATCCCAGCACTTTGGGAATCTGAGGTGGGTGGATCACTTGAGGCCAGGAGTTTGAGACCAGCTAGCGTGACATAGCGAGACCATATCGCTACAAAAAATTTTAAAAACAGCCAGGCATGGTGATGCACGCTGATAGTCACAGCTACTTGAGAGACTGAGGTATGGGGGATTCCTTTACCAGGAGTTAAAGGCGGCAGTGAGTTGTGATCTTGCCACTCCACTCTAGCTTCTTGGAAAAGCGGACATCTGAATTTGGGCTTTGAAAGAATGGCAGGAAGGATGGGGAATATTGTTTCAGGAATAACAAACAGTATAGGCTGCCCATGTTTTTTGCAACAGTGATGAAACTAACATTGTGGTGGTTTTTTTTTTTTTTCCTTCATTTTTTCAAGACAGTCTCACTCTTAGACTGGAATGCAGTGGCGTGATCTTGGCTTACTGCAACCTCTACCTCTTGGGTTCAAGCGATTCTCCTGCCTCAGCCTCCAGAGTAGCTGATACTACAGGCACACGCCGCCATGCCCAACTAATTTTTGTATTTTTAGTAGAGACAAGCCTTTGCCATGTTGGCCAGGCTGGTCTTGAACCCCTTACTTCAGGTGATCTGCCCACTTGGGCTTCCAAAGTGCTGGAATTAGAGGTGTGAACCACCATGCTTGGCCCTGAAATTATTTTCTATTTGTGAATGTTTTAGTTGCTATAAAACCGTGTTGTCTGTGATAGAATATGTTAGCAAAGATGGAAGTTCCTGATGTTGTCCTGTCACAAGGGCAGAACAGTGAGGAGGCTGCAGTATAGACCAGATGAAAGATACCACCAGTGACTTGGAATAGGGTTTTGGTAGCGGGGGTGAAAAGCAGTTAGATGGATTTTAGAAATGTCAGGGATAGAATTAGTTGGACAAGAAGAGTGGGAAGGTCTCAGGCTTGGAAAGCAGGATGGATGGATGGTGTTGCCATTTGCTGTGAAATGATAAGCAGCGGAACATGGAGCAGGCTGAGAGGAATGGGATGGTGTTTTGAGTGCTGACTGGGTTGCGTTTGACATCATGAAGTGCCTGAGAGCCCGCACAGTGAGAGGCAGGTGATAACTGTACTCTGCCCTGGTGGATCCTCTCTTTCCTTCAGAGCCTTCCTGCCCTGGTGAAATCAACATGACAGTAAAACCTAACTTATAGGACTGTCCTTTAGAATCAGTGCCTGAAGCCAGAAGTGGTGACTCATGTCTTTGGGAGGCTGAGGCAGGTGGATCACTGGAGGTCAGGAGTTCGAGACCAGCCTGGCCATCATGGTGAAACCCCGTCTTTACTAAAAATACAAAATAAGCTGGGCGTGGTGGTGGGCGCCTGTAATCCCAGCTACTTGGAAGGCTAAGGCAGGAGAATCACTTGAGCCTGGAAGGGAGAGGTTGCAGTGAGCTGAGATTGCGCCACTGCACTCCAGCCTATGCAACAGAGTGAGACTCCATCTCAAAAAATAATAATAATTTAAAAATAATAATAATGAAGAATTGGTGCCTAAAAGCTGGGTTTGGGAACTTGTAGGTCTGGCACAACTCTGTTTTCCTCTGCTTGTCTCAAAAGTTGATGTTAAGGGTAAATGGAGTGGCCTGAAATTTTATCCAATTTGGATGGAAATAGGTGAATAGATTTCAAAACATTGCTTAAATTATAAGTGTGAGTGCTAGCTAAGAAGCTTTGGGACTTGAGGGTAGGCTGTTAGGGAAAAAGTTACTCTGAAAATGAGGTCAGACCGTTTGGACTTAAATACTCCTTTGGATCCCATCTTCTATTATAGATCTAAGAAAGGAAGGGACTTAAGAAAACCTCACTACAAGGGAGTGGGAGATAGGTCATCCTAGGAATAGAGTTTAAGGAATCCATATACCTTGAAGGGGAAGAAAAGCAAACATTGAACAAAGTATTGAGGATACGCACTGAGGTGGGCTTTCACATGAACCGTTTCATGAAAATTACTGCTCACCTAAACCTCACTGTAGAAATTCCTCTCATAATTGCTCATTTTTGTCGTATAGTTACTCCTTTCATTTTCATTTATTATTTTTTAATTTGCACATTTAATATAATTTATATACTGAGAAAAAATTAATAACTATCCATTAGCTACACATTCCCCATGCATAAAATGCAAAAATAGGAAGTCTTTATTGAAAAAGCAGTCATTAATTGAAAGGAAACTTGCTTCTAAAATGAACCAGCAGAGGGGGCCACTGCCTCATTTTAATTGTCAGTATTCTTCAGTGCACTCTAGGCTTCCCGTTTTTTTTTTAATTGCATTTTAGGTTTTGGGGTACATGTGAAGAACATGCAAGATTGTTGCATAGGTACACACGTGGCAGTGTAATTTGCTGCCTTCCTCCCCTTCACCTATATCTGGCATTTCTCCCATGCTATCTCTCCCCAACTCCCCACCCCCTACTGTTCCTCCCCCATTTCCCCCCAACAGACCCCAGTGTGTAGTGCTCCCCTCCCTGTGCCC